TGTGCTGTTTTATAAAGTAATTAAATAATTCAAACACTGCATGTGCCAAGAGGTAATGAAATATATATCTAAGAAGCTTACCGGTAAATTAATTTTACTAACCATGAAAAGTGTTTAGATAACACTGAAAACTGAAGGGACATCAGCAAAATTTCTAGCAGGACTCAACTCCTATTGCACAAAATAAAACCAGATCCCAAGAATTCAAATACTGTGGCCTCCAAGTCTTGCAATGAAACGATCCAAACACCAAACACTGTAACCACAAGTACAGACATTAAACCTCCATAAGGAATTGGAATGAAGAAGCCAAGATATGTTCTGTAAACCTCTCAATGTATGGAGAAGACTATGTCCCATTACTCAACATCCTGAGTGATCTGAGTTATTCACTTGGAGGGAAACTGACCCACACTTTACCAATACTCTGTGCAAAATTCACTTTTGGACTAAATTCAGAAATGGCAGAGATTTTTGTTACATTTCTTTCACTTCCTTCAAAATAAATTGCACATTATACCCAACTAAGCAATCACTATAGATACTGCTTTCTCTGGTGGCTTCCCACCCCAACTCCACAGTACTTCTGGAAACTACAGCACATCATTTCCACATGTACCTATACAATATATATTTTTATATATACCACTTTCATCAATCCTTTTACTCCATTCAATGTCCCACAATATATATACACTTATATGTATACACTTATACAATGAGATAGAATTTAGAGTTAAATCACTTCCAAAATCTTTCAATTTTCAATTTTTGTAGAATTTAGCTGCTAGAGTCTACATCTGCACTGCATCTTCAGTTAGAGGAATAGGATAATGAACAGGACAAACAGCTGGAAGTATTAAAAAAATATTGAAGAGTATTTACTGAAAGTCGGGTATTTTAACCAAATAAAACATGCATCGGTCATTAAGAAAGCCACATAAGTGACTAGTCTGAACATAAGGTAACTAGTCTGAAACATTTCCAGTGAATGCCAGTCTGCAAGACTGCCTTAGAATGAGTATTTAAAATAATCTAGAAAGTAAGTATTGCCTTTCAAAAACCTTAAGATTCCACAGAAAAGCTCCAGCTTTGCTAAACATCCAAAATGTTAAAGACTCCCACACATCCAATCACAACTTGAAACTGACATACACCTTCTTAAGACACATTCTTTCTGCTTTCCTAAAAGCACAGAAATTCCAGCTCTACATATCTTCCCCATTACTCTCATTTTAAAGTAAAGAGACAACACATAACCTGTCCATTGCAAAGTCCACATTTCTATTATCATGAAGGAATTCCAAGTTTCCATGAATAGAAATGGTGTAGCAGTAATGGAGCCTTACCCAGAGAAGAGCTAGAACATCTCAGCTCCTCCTATCTCCTTTGACAGAGCTCAGCACCTGACAGACTGAAAGGAGATGTGGTTCCTAATTGTTGCCATTACTTCAAAACAAAACATGACTACTTAGGATATTCCAAAGCTGGGAATCTAAAAGTCACTATAACTAAATAAATCATAAAAAATCCCTGAAATCAACCACCAAGCAGCAACAAAATTTAAATTCCACAATGCTAATTCATCAGACACTTAATTTCCTCATACAAGCATTGGATATCCATGCTTAGAACCCTCCTTGGACTGCCACAAGTAGTCAACTGCTGCTTTCCAAAATTGTTTGGTTTTTTTTCCCATCTTGCATACAAGCAGTAACAAACCAACATAAATCCATCTCACTTGATTTCAGAAAGACTATAAAAGATTGTTTCTTTCTATAAAATACTTCACGTCTTTAAAAAGTGACTAAAACCAAAATGCTCCAGAAAAAAATTTAACTGATATGTGCTGATATGTCTTTGTATTTTCTTAATGTGAAAGTATCACTCAAAAGCAGCACTACACAGCTCATTTTCAGAATTTAGTTTCAGCTGTGATCCTCAAAAAGAAATTATAAAGTCATTTTACTTTCAAATAGCTCTTACCCTTTTGCCAGGACTTAGTAGAAAATATAAGCCAGAGTTAGTGTTGCAAAATATAAATAAATTGCAGCAAGCTCATCATTGCTAAGTACATATGAGGTCATTCAAAAATTAAAACTTAAATCACAAAATTATTTTAACACAATCCTAAACCAAACAAATATCACAGATAAGGAGTCACAATTTTTTTTTTTTTAAAAAAAAAAAGCATCAGAGTAATATTTCCTAGATGGATCTAAGATCCTCCATATATACATCCCAGGCATTAAAATCTAAATTAAACAGAGATTATAACAAATTATCATAGTGGATAAAAATATAACAAGCACACTAAGAGATACAGGTGGGGTAACATATGTTGTCTTTGGAAGTGATACACAGGCTGGTTGCCTCACCCTCTCTGAGGGGTTAAAAACCCACTCTTTTTTCTTAGTCATCCTTCAAAGGTCAGTAACAATCATCTTTCTATAGCAAAAGAAAAAATATCACCTTGAGCATGCTTACACAAAAACATACATGCTGAACAGATAATTCTCTAAGTACCACATGTATTTGCCATTCTGAAATGGTTGAATGTGTTATTTTGGTATTTGGCTGCTAAGAATACAGCCTACACCTTTCTACAGCCTTCAGAGCAGGCAAGGAATAGCCAGAGGGACAGACATGGACCATGGAGCTCACACTACCATCCACCAGAAACTGACCACCCGTAGATTAGAGGAGTTGAAGAACCACCCACAGGATAAGAGGTGGTTAGATTGGTCTCCTCCAAATGCTGGCAAACCACAAGAGCAAGGATAATGAGTATAATAAGGCACCCAAACACTGAACAAGGAATTTCTCTATTCCTAACTGGAAGATCTACCCCACCCTGGGTGTGCACATAAAACACAGCACGGGACTTCTCCACAGCTCAAACATGTCATTTCAACCTGAGCTGGACAGCCATAAACCCCAGGGACTGTCCATATCTCAATAAACCTTGGGAAGAAGAAATTATGGTTCCTTCACTCACTGGACAGAAAGCCTCTCCTTCCTCCCAGATTCCTCTAGAAGTGAAAATGCTAACTCACCTTGATGTTTTTGAAAGCCATTTTACAAAGAGCTTTCAAACAAAAGTCACAGTAGTAAAAATGCCTCCTTTAAGGCACTGAGATGCAGAGTTACCTTCACACACAGCCCTTAACACAGCCTGGGTACCCGCCCCACGATGCCAAGGCTTGGACTGCAAGTTTCTTCCATCGAGAAACTAAGAAAGCTTTTCCCACAGAAACATATTCCTTAAGGGAACTGGATATGCCACTACACACTGAGTGTGCAGTAGTAGACCCTGAAAAAAAAGGGCCCTTCTCCTCCTCCCCTCCCATTCGGGGTGAAAGGAACAAACGAGGAATGCACTGCTCAGGCAGATGCGACCGTGAGGGGACTGCGGCTGAGGGAGCTCTGCTGCTGCTGGGGTGTTATGGCTGGTGTTTCCTTCACTTGAGCTGTAGGAGCGTTCGCCATCCCCCTCCCTTCCATGGGGAGAGTCCAAGGAAGCCGCCCCGGCAGAGGGACAGCTCTGGGGTCCCTGTGGGGACGTGCAGCCCTGACACAGCGGCCCGCGGGGAGCCGGGCCGGCAGGGCTCCCTCAGCCCTCGCTGCCGAGCGGGAAGGTTGGGAGGACAGTCCCCGATGCTTCGCCCTCACCGGGGCTGGGGAAGGGCCACAGGAGCGCTCCCCCCGCGCCCCCAATCCAGGCTGCGGAGCTCTGCGATGCCGGGGGGAGGAAGGAAAGCAGGAGAGCCGCAGCGCATCTCCAGCATCTCCCCTCAGGGCAGGGCGGACACGGGGGAGCTGCTCCGTCCTCGGCTTGGCCACCGGGAAACCAAGGGCCAGGGGCGAAGCGACTTGATAGAGGGGAACCTCCCTCCCTTCCCCGCCCTCCGAGGAGGGGGAGCGGGAGCGGGGCCTGCGCCCGGCGCGGCTGCGGGGAAGGGGCCGCGATCGAGGCGGCCGCCCTGGACACGCACGTGGGGCTGGGGGTTCGAGGATGGAAATAAAAACAAATCGCAAACGGACAACAGTTAAGTGAAACCAGTGATTTAGAAAGCCGACCAGAAAACTAACCCTGGCAAGTAGGATTTGCCCTCCCCTTGGCTGCACTTATTGGCCGCGCTCGTGTGCAACGAGCTGGTATCTGCCAATGCCAGTGGTCGGCCGGCCTGTCCATCACCAGGGAAAGAGCAATTCGCCTCTAAGGGAGTAGATTCCCATCCATCCATCACGAGGCTTAGCAGGTAGTCGCCTAGAAATCAATCACACACTAATAAAAAAATAAAAAAAAAAATCCTTCTCCATCAAATTACTACTATAGTGCTCCCAGAAAAATATATATGTATCCTTGGTGAGGTAAGGCGTGGATTTCATCACATGCATCACATCCATCACTTGTCCAGCCTAAAATGATATTTTCTTTAAAAGATATTAAACCAAGCATCATAAAGGAGGGACCCTAGTAAGTATTCATTAATTATATAACTGAAAAAAAAAATATCCTGTTAGCGTCTGTTTCCATTTCCCAGCCACCAGAAGGGAACAGAAATCTCTCACCTTTTTCCTGACACGGTTTTTAAAACACCAAACATTATCCATTATTTAGGCATAAAGCTAGGAATTTCCAAAGCTCATCAAATCTATCCTAGAAAACTATAACAACAACAATATTTTTAAACACTAGGCATAAAAAGAAAAAAAAAAAAAAACATTGGAGTCCTATGGCTGCTTTTAATAGAAATTGAAAGAGGTTTCTGGTTGACGATTCTGTAGGGAGAGGCACTCTGTTACCAGAATAAGATATGCACTTGGTCCCATTTATTACAATGTATTTCCAAAGCGATATAAAAAGCCTATTATTTTGCAAATTCATCTCCAGATTCAGCTACCAGACAGTTCTAAAAAGCAACATACAGCATTTCCTTAATCACAGTAAATTTACAGTCATGTATCTCAGCCATATTCTTGCTTAAGCTTCTCACCTTTCAAATCATTGCATCTGCCTTTCGTCCTCACATGGATTTTACAACATCACGTTTAGCTGGCATCCCATTTGCGCGGAGGAAGGAGGCGGCAGGGAGAGCCGGAGCCGCGGAGCAGCCGCGAGGGGCTGACCAGCAGGAACCTGCTGCGGTCGGGGAGGCTCGTGTGCCCCTGTCCCTCGTCTTTCCGTCCCTCAGCGAGTCTCCCTCAGTCAGCTGCGAGCCCGGCTGTCTGGCTTGCCAGTCCCTGACTCAACATTCCCAGCATTCCCGAGGAGCCGGGGCTCCAGCGGCGCGGCTCGGAGCCGCCGGGGGCAGCAGCAGCAGCAGCACACGCAGCGCAGCCCGTGATTCCTGCGAGCGTCTGTCTGTCTGTCCATTCACCGCGGCTTCCAGTCCCCACCCCGAGAACGGCTGCGAGTGTGTTACTCACTGTCAAACAGCCTAAAAATACACCTTATGGCTGCGTAAAACTGCCGAGCCTAAATTGCTTTCTCGCCGCTGTTCACCAAAGGCCAGAGATGTTCAAAGGTAGGTGCTTCAGAACATGATGGCTAAAAATCCATTGCTATATGCGTGCATTTACAGAAACAGAAAAAAACCCAGAAATCTGAATCTGTGTTTTGGCTTAAGTGTAAAAGAAGTTAGGATGACATGCAAATTTATTTGTATTTTTCTCAAAAGCAGTATGCAGGGGAAAAAAAAACCAAACCACGACAGATTAGCTTCAATGCTAAGCCTGAAAGCCTTTTCCATAAGAAAACTGCAAACCGCATTAAAATTATTCCTGAGATTTTATTGTTTTTTATTAAGTAGAGTGAGAAAACGTCTATAAACACCACTGGCTTCTCAATCCTAAGAACAGAGGATTTGTTCCTCTTCTGTTTTTCCCTCCTCTCAATTTTTATTTCTTTTTTTTTAGTTTAATCACTTTGTATACAATTGCAAGTGATCACCTTCAGGCTTTAGCTTCAGTGGACCTTCATACCTTACGCTGCACAAAATTTCACGAATTACTCTTAAAAACTATGCCAAATCAAATTGATTTCAACCAATCATGTTTAAAATTAGCATAATCCTTTTATTACTGCATCTGAATTATCCAAAGCCAGTTGAAATAATTGGCTGTCACAGATATTTATTTGGAGATGCTAGAATACCATTCCCAGCAGGTTTGTATTTCCCCCAGGAAAGGGACACACTCTTAACAGTACCCACCTACCTTAGCTATAAATTGCAATAGAGGGCAAATACTTTTTCTGAGTTCAAAGTAATGGAATAACCATTATTAAAATGCAAACTTCAATTGCTTTTAAACCTGCATACTTATTTGAAGACATTTCTGTTCAAATAGTTTCAAACCCATGAAAAATATGGACAGAGAAAATCTGTTCCTGGAGAAATTGACAAGGGACACGGTTTTGTATACAAACAATTTCACTTGATCTGAAAAGCAAACAAAGTATTCCTCAAAAGTTAGCAAGCCTGCATCTGTAAGGAAATGGATAAGCACTACAAAATGTGGGTCACTACAGTGAACGCTTCAGAGCACAAGAAGTGGCCATTTTCAGCTTAGCCCTTAATTTGGATTCAGTATGAAATAAGAATCTCCTACAGACCTGTCTCAATATTGCAAAATCCAGTTCTGTCTCGGTGCTGTTAATGATGACAGGACTTTTGTTCTAAGTGGTGTCAGCTGCTGACAGTTTTTTAAACAACATGTCACACCATTCCTGTCTATATGAAAAGACAAGGAACATCAGGTCCTGCCTTATTTTTTTTTGTGACTCATTCACTGGCAAAGACTGAGGTGATAGCCAGCAAAAGCCAGAAGCATCCTGACAGAGGAGCAGTAGCCAAAGAATCGCCTTTCCAAGGAATAAGAAAGCTGCCATAAGGCTGCCACAATACTGCAATAAATTAAGCTTGCTGTCATTCAATAAACTTTATAGCAGAGTTCATCACAGCCCATCTCAGAGCAGCAGACCCTCTGCAGGGGACTGTCAGCATTACCAGTGCCAAAGAACAGACTATACCCACCATGTATAATACCATTGGAGAGCTTTGTGGGGAAAAAATATTTTGCCAAATTGTATTCAAAAAGACTTGTTAGAAAAATGTGCATCTCAAAAGAAGGGGGGGAAAGTAATCAGAATTTTACAGCTAATCTACTTAGTGTATTAGCAGAAACAACATCCATGCAAAGAACCTCAGGGTCACATAATCCAAACCCTTCAATAACATTCATTCCTTACATTCAAGACAATGCTGGAATCCAAATCCACAGGGTAGGATAATAACAATTGTGTCCTTAAGGCTAACTTCTTTGCAGCTGATGAAAGCTCTCATTTCAGTCTAATCACAGGGCCATCTGTGTTGTCCTCAGTGCCATGATGCAGGTGGGTGCCATTAAGCACAAAAAGAGCAAGATCATATCAGGAAACTAGCACTTTTTTTTTTCTTTCATTTATTATAAGAGGTTTCCATTAACTACTAGACACATCTTTCAGACAAACTGTTAGAGGAAAGCCGTCTGTTGTAAAACTTAAACCACTATTTATATTATATTATAAACATACAATGTTTGCACTTGTCAACAGTTTCTATCTTCAAATAGATTTTTGGCTAGCAGACTTCAGTTTATTTGTTTTCTACCTTAAAAACACAGCATATTCAGAGTTTTTTCTGCTTTCACATCAGGAGCTGTGGAAATCTCACTGAAATTAATGGCAATTTTTTTTTATTTCAATTAGCCCACATTAAGGCCCTAACCAAGTCAAGTAAATATGAAATACAGATTTTCAAGTCTCTTATTTTCCTCCATCTATGCTATACTGATTTTGGAAACAGAAAAGTATAAAACATTTATTATTACTATTCTGTTTACTTATTCTACGCATAAATAATTCAAAATAACATATATATGGTTACTTACTGTCTTAAATTCCTGTGCATCCCTTCATCCTTCCCAATTCTTTCTTCTCACCTGTGAGAAGACTTTAGCAGCAGCTATCTCCCTTTCATAGTCTGGTGAAAATGGATGTTATTTTCTGCTTAACTTCTTTTAAAACAGAAATAAAAATAGAAGCTTGGTTCCTGCTGTGTAATTCCTAGCAAGCAACTGCAGGTGTGTGCTTTAAAAACCCAGGAAAATATATTTCAGCTTTAGTCATTGAAACTGACCCCACTCTATTCCTCTGTGCTTCTCTAGTGCTACTTGATTTACACTGAAGGTTACAGAACCAGAAAAACAAAAAATATTGTCTTTACCATGATGTGGTGATCAGATTTCGAGTAAGCACTTGACCCTAGAGAAACAAAAAGCTCCAAACTAACAAAATAATTGAAATAAATTTAAATTTTCTGTTGATTTCAAAATGAGGTCCTACCAGTCTAGTCCACAGAGATGGTGGACTCATCAGTCAGTAACTTATGAATATATAACAACAGTGACTGATGAATATATAAACTCTTAATGAGTTTATATATTCACCTACAAATACCTGTCAAACTGAATTACAAAATAGTTTCCACTACATGTTAAGCTTCTGGTTTTGCTTTCCTCACGACATATTACCCAAGTCTCATCGTGGTTTTAAAAATGATTAGTATCATTTATTTGTTATTAATTTAAATGATCACATGCCTTCCAGAGATGGAAAAGTGTTACTTGAATATACCTGAACACACAAGAAGCCATTGAGTTATCTACTCTAATGTATTATAAAGCAAAAAATAAACAAAGAAAATACACTCTTTTATAATTACATAATTTAGCAGTTTATTGTATACTGCACAGCTTATATCTACTCAGGACAGAAATAAAGCCACTCTGGCAGATGCCATTAATATCATAGTCACAAATAGAGAAAAATGCTAAAGTAATTTAATATTAAAAAAAAAATCCATCTCACAGAAGTTCTCCAGCTTCCACATCTCAAAACAGGGCTGTTAATAGGCTTTTGCACCAACTCCACAAGGTATTTCAGAAAGTTAAAAATATTTCTTAGGAAAATTCAAACTCCAGGAAGTTCTAACAGTATGCAGCAAATACAGCTTAAACATCTTGAATTACATTTAACACTTTAAATTTTATTAATGGTCCTTTATTTTCCTGGTTGGAAACACTGTATTACTGTACTATTGTACACATGGATATACACAGTGACTGTTATATAGAAACACTGCTAAATGAATGCTGACTAGTAAAGTATTAAATGATGATTTCAGGGTTTTTTAATCATTTTAGACACATCAGAGCTAAAATCCAACTGATTTTTCAGTAAGAATTAAGCTTTCAAATGCCAACATCACTCCTGAAAGGTAAATCCAGATACTAAAATTTTACTTACAAGTGTCAACATGAGGCACTTCATCTCAAGGCTGCTGAGGTTCTTCTCTAATTCTCCAGTTGCAGGAAAAACATTGCCTTCCCTACTTACAATCTCAACCTCTACAGCAAACTTGGCAGGCACAAACACTCGTATTGTAGGACTATTTATCACCCCCAGTCCATCACCTTCTCCCAGCAGAACTACAGAGCAGTTATTCACTGAGGGAACCTTTTATTGGCAGCACAGGCTTTTCCAATTTTGAGCAGCTGAGTACTGAAGCCTTAATCACATTCACATGGTGAGAGGACAGGGGCAGGACCAAACCTACCTGAGCTGGGGGGGCTCAGCTCTGTCCACCACAGCAGTCCCCAGTGGAACCAAATTTCTGCAGTGAGTAGGGCCCTATTAGACCAACTAAATTCAGGAACAGTGCGAAAATAATTAAAAACAGTAGCCTTGTATGGCTGCTTGGAAACTGACAACGAACCTACAGCTGCTTCCCTGCTTTTGTGCCCATTGTGGATTCTGTTGAGAAGCTGCATGACCAACTGACTAACAAGAAACACAACATTTTGCTCACAAAAAGATCTCATAACCATTGGATATCCATTTTGTCATTGAGATTGTCAGTGCTGGTACACGGAATAACAAATAGCACAAGCAATTCTGACTACTTCACTTAATTTCTGGTCTTTAAAATTGAAGAAATATTAAATATAGGCTTTAAAATATCATTTTATCAGTGTTTTTATGTCAATCATCTACTAGCCTGACATTGTAAAATATCAGGACTTTTGAGCACCTTTGA